GTGGGGTTGTTGGAAACCTTTGCTGAGGTGTATCACACATTGATTCATATCGTGGTTCATGCAGCCCCAAGATTAAAAAAAGAAGCATTTCTGAAGCACTCTTTTAAGAATTTTCAAGCATATTTATATAATTTTTTCCTAAGCGCTAAATTTTCTCCCTGTATCGTAGAACTTTGCTTCGTCCACAAATAAACACATCTCTGTTGTTTGGGTGGTTTGTTTCCAAAATGCCAAGCGTTTACTAGATGTTTTTGCCCTTTCACGTGACTTTTGACTGCAGATTTGCCCATCATTACCATTTTTAAAGACTGTCCGCCGCAAAATACATATGCTGCATATTCATTATCATCAGATTCGGAGGAGCCAATCTTTATAGTTATCATGGTACAACCATTCATCATTGAGAATACAACCACCCAGCTTACCGTTTTGTTTAACCACCAATGTTCCAAGTGAAATTGAGAAAAAAACTATAGATCGAATCTATATATCGGATCCCTGACGTGAAATTTCAATTCTACAAGTAGAAATAGTAAAGTATCAGTATGCTGAACATTTGTGAGTAACGACTAGAAGCCCATGGCAACATCAATTCAACAAGAAAATCGCAAATATTATACGGCATTTTGGCCCGTATGCCCTCCTCCTCCTCCCCCGTAACTCGGAAACCGTTCCTCCGCTCATTTTGAAAGTTTTCTCTGAGCTTTGAGTTATTGTAAGCTTCAATTAAAACTTGGTTAAACGGCCAAATTGGCTGCCTAAAATGCAGGCCATTTTTTGGAGAACTCCAGAGAAAATTTGCGCAATTTGCGGCTCTGAGGGGTAATTTTTTGCTACCAAAGTTTACCATATGGTTGAAAACTGTGGTATTAGTGATCTAGTTCTTCAAATTACCATATTTAAGAAACCCAGGCATTACGACTATCGAGGAAATTTCATTTCAGTTATGTAAGAGGACATACTACCGGTGATTTACCTATTTTAGTCCCAAAGTACCTTTAAATCAAAGTTTTTTTCCAGAAGCTCAACAGAATGTGTTTTTTTATGGCTTAAATGACTCAGTAGACACTATACTCCAAGAATCTGAAGAGTTTTTGCTTTTGACTCGTTGAAAAGTTTAAACTGGTTCAAGCAAACTGTGCCAGAAGAATGTTACGAAAAATCGGCGAAAATGCACGATGTGGCGCCACTTCGAATGGGGAAAGGGGCGTTGTAAAAGTGATGACATAAATTGTGTAATTTTTGGTAAGTGCCCTAAAAAGCGTATTACCTTATAAAATTTCAAAGCCGTAACAACAATTTAAAGGGGGGGAAAAAATTCGCGATAAGGGGGAAAAACGCGATTTTTAAAATTTGGAACTTGTCGGCCGATACGGCACCACTTGGGATGATCCAATCTGGCTGAAATTTGTAGTAGGTTAATTTCAAACCAAAAAACAGGGGGATCAAACCTTTGATGAATGTTTAAAGTTTCACTGTTTTCTAGAAAAATTATACTATAATAATCCTAAAATTCCGACAGGGTAGTATCCTCTTGCATAAAAACAAGCAAAACAGCTGGCACCGGCTGCGGTGGCGGTTTTCATTTCCGTCAAGCTTCTTTCTCCGGACATGTTCAGACATACTGCGCTTTTGAATTCACAAGATAGTTGTATCAGTATGTATACAATGACGTTGCTTTGGCTTGACCCCCTTTCCCCTTTATCACCCAATTGTCACTTGCCTCCAGATCCCCCTCCCCTTCCTTCATATGTGGGTGTGATTTATGGACAGCCCCTTGCCCTTATATCCAATTACATGGGTGATAATCATGTGTTAGCTCGTGTTTTCGGGATTTTCATTTTTAGTTTTTTAAGACACCTTATGATGGCTGATGCAGCCAAAATGGTCATAAAGCAGTAATAAAAGTGATAACCCAGAGAAAAATCGGTGGGGTTTTAAAAATTGGGAAGTTATAGGGTTATACCTTTACTAAAAAAGAAGCATCGTACTGCGATATAAAACTCTGCCATAGCCACTAATTCAGTCCATGAGGAAACTTTTTCAAACTAAGATAACACGCAGATCACAAATTTTGAAGATCCGAACCAACACCAGTTTTTTAAATTGGCCATCTTATTCCGCCTTCAACTAATGAAACAGTTCAAGAGTTTTGAGGAATCAAAGTTGAGGGTAACATACCGATTGAACAAAAAATAGTCAAATGCAAGCACCGCAGACAGCTAAGTGGAATTTTCCTTCCACTTCCTCGTCTCCTCAAGCAGTCAGTGGTCTTGCCCATCCTTGAGACGTGCGTACCCAAAAAGGCAACATCCACTCGGAGCTGCTTGCAGTCTTCCCATTTCTGCATTTTTCGGATCATTGTCACATAGCCTCAAATTTAAATTTTCAAAACTGCTGAAGCTTCTAAATTAACGGCGAATTCGTGGAGGGATGCTAAATTCAGTCCTGAACCGGGTAGGTAATAATTCTAAAGAAGCTATTATATGACACTAATGTAGTAAAATGTATGTCTGTGGTTTAAAAAAACGCTCTTGGCTAGACTCTAGTTGTGCCCCAATGACAGTTTGGTCTTTGCAAGACCCCTTTCCTATCACTGATGGCTCAGCAATTAAAATCAAGTTTGCATAGCTCTTCTCTGGCTGAAAACGTACTTAGGGAAAAGTTCATCTTTTTCGCATCTTTAACCTATAGCTGGCAAAAAAATAACTACCGAACCGTTCGTTTCTTCAGAGCATAAGAACACTCATGAGATGTAAAATAAGGAAGCCCATTGAACAAACTGGTATCAGTTCAGATCAAAAGCTATCCATATATTTTCTTCTTTAAAGGAAATTTCTTCATTTCAAAAACTAAAAACTTACACATGACCTAAAATTTAGATGGTTCTTTTTGAAAACCGGACCTAGCTATCTTCCTGTTTTTGGAAGATATCAAAGTGTCAAGGTTTCTATCTGAAAATTTGGAAAAGAAACTTTGAAACGTGAGTAATCAATGGACCCACTTCAAAGAACATCTAGGGGAAGACGAAAATGCCGTGTTTGCAACAAGTAGATCCCTGCTACTGTCCTAAACGGAAAATTCAGATGTCGTCTTGAATGCAAAAATGTTTACTCGGGCTTAGCTCCTCAGAAACTCAAAATGAGGATATACAGGGTTATTCAAAAGTTACGCATCACTGGCCATAACTTTAGTTCTAATTATGATATCGATTTGCGGTTTGTGGAGTCCTTCCTCATATAGAGGGGGAAACTTTTTGAGGTACTTTTCAGTTCTTCACCCCCCCCCCCAGGGGGAAGGGGGCGGGGGGCAACTCAAAAATTTCAAATGGCAACCCCCATCATGCGATACATTGTTAGAAAGAGCATGAAAAAAGAAACTTTTTGGCGCAAACCCGAAGTCGATCTGACCCCCCTGTCAAAAGTGAGGGGGGTCCAAAGGTTATTTAGGGGGTCCGTACCTTCATTTTTTAGAGTAGCTTCGGCGGCTCTTGGACATACCGTTTCTCTTTTCAAAGAGTCCTCGAATACTCCAAGTCTGATACCGAAGTCATCATATTGCCCCAGGGCCACCACAGCCCCCGCGTAGGGGAGGGGGGTGGGCCTGTTACAATGAAACATTGCATGAAAATGCGAAAAGTCACAGAAGAGTCAAACTTAGCATCAAATCCGAGTGGAACTTCTTGCCAATGTTAACGCAAACGCAGCCTGCGACTTTAAAGTGAGTTTCCAAACCTCTTAGCCCCCTGCCCCCCCTCATTTTTGGTTGCAGAGCGGGTAAAAACCGGGAAATTCACTACAAATAATGCCCGAAACTAATGTCCAACTAGAGGAGGACCCTTGAAACGTTGCGCTCAGTCGGAGAACTGCAACACAGGAACTGCCGCCCACTTTAAGGACGGAAACATCCATAAAACCCCCGCTGCCCCCCTCTTTTTTCGTTGCAGAGCTGGTAAGAACCGGGGCATCATTTCTGGCGCATTTCCCGGTTCTTACCAGCTCTGAAACGAAAAATGAGGGGGCAGCAGGGGTGTTTTGGATGTTTCCGTACTTTAAGGGGGTGGCAGTCCTTGTACTTCAATGCTCCGACTGATCGCAACGTTTCAAGGGTCCTCCTCAAGTTGGACATTAGTTTCGGGCATTATTTGTAGTGAATTTCCCGGTTTTTACCCGCTCTGCAACCAAAAATGAGGGGGGGCAGGGGGCTGAGAGTTTTGGAAACTCACTTTAAAGTCGCAGGCTGCGTTTGCGTTAACATTGGCAAGAAGTTCCACTCGGATTTGATGCTAAGTTGGACTCTTCTGTGACTTTTCGCATTTTAATGCAATGTTTCATTGTAACAGGCCCACCCCCCCCCTCTCCTACGGGGGGGCTGTGGAGGCCCTGGGGCAATATGATGACTTCGGTATCAGACTTGGAGTATTCGAGGACTCTTTGAAAAGAGAAACGGTATGTCCAAGAGCCGCCGAAGCTACTCTAAAAAATGAAGGTACGGACCCCCTAAATAACCTTTGGACCCCCCTCACTTTTGACAGGGGGGTCAGATCGACTTCCGGTTTGCGCCAAAAATTTTCTTTTTTCATGCTCTTTCTAACGATGTATCACATGATGGGGGTTGCCATTTGAAATTTTTGAGTTTCCCCCCGCCCCCCTCCCCCTGGGGGGGTGAAGAAATGAAAAGTACCTCAAAAAGTTTCCCCCTCGATATGAGGAAGGACGCCACAAACCGCAAATCGATATCATAATTAGAACTAGAGTTATGGCCAGTGGTGCGTAACTTTTGAATAACCCTGTACACCGAATATATGACCGGGTAAGTATATTATGTCAAGCAAATCCTGTACTTGCATCTTAAACTTGGCAAGTAACAGGTTACTTTACAATGGCCGTACTGAACATGGACTTATCAAACCTGAGAGAAAATTTCCGTCCAAAAATATCTGAATGGTATAATTTTTTACATTTAATGTACAAGAATAATACGTTTATACAAAAACTCACCTATCCAATATACAAGAAACTAGAAGACTTTCAACTTCATTTGCGTCAATATTGAGTTGTTTCGATATGAATGGAATATAAATTCTAGTATAAGGAGTTATTAGTTTAATTAATACTTGCGTTCTAATATTCCTCAACAAATCTGGAACAGTACCAAGAGCAGAGTAATAAAATAATGGTTCCAATCAAAATCAATCTCAACAAGATAGTTGCATGCGGCGAGGATTTTTAGTTCAGAATATGTTACTCATGGAACTTATGGCAAAGAACTGATCAAGGTCTAAAAGTAAATTAAAAACTCTAAAAAAGCTCAAGAAAGTTTCTTAGAATTACCAAAAGAAATTGACAATATCCTTGGGCAGTTTTCTGTTTGATGCAATTACAAAGTCGTGACATCAATACAAAGGGGAGCCCTAGAGTGCGTCAGAAAAAATGAAAGTCTGAAATGTTCCGCTCTCCAGGCGGCAATCGATGACGTTTGGTAAGAAAGCATGTTTGCCAAAATTTGGGTCAATTTCAACCATTATAAATAGTACCAAAGGTCAATTTTGTGATGAAATTACGATATTTAGGTTTAGACCTCGATTTCGTACAAAAAACTCGATTTTACGCTGAAATCGTGCGTTTACAAGAAAAATGCCACATAACTCAAGTTGCAGAGGATGAAATTTTACTCTAGTAAGACGTCTTTGTAAACGATAAAAATAAAATTGAGCTAGAAAAACTCACCACCGTTTTTATTTTTTTAGTCCTCAGAATTTCCGAGGTCTTACAAAGTAGCGGTTTAAAAGACTCATTTTTCACGAAAATAAGTCGAAACAGGGTGTAAATGAACTGTAGGCAAGTGTTGAGGATGCAGATGTCATCAGAACTTCCTCAGTTTCAAAAAAAATTCCAACTATTTTGCACAATCCTCCAAAAAGTGTACAGCTCGAGAAGCAGGATCGTCCTACAATAGTAAGGGAGAAATGCCGTTTGACCGGAAAAAATTGCGTAACAAACTTTCCCTATGTAATCATCATCAGTAGGTCCCCCTGAACGACTTCCTAAAAGTTAAAAATGGTCGCCCCCCCCCCGGAACACCCCTCAAAGTGCTCAAAAGTGAAAATGGCGGCCGTAATGCGGTCTGGGAAATCGGTATTTTAAAATTCTCATTCTGTCTCATGTGAGGTATCATATCATATGTAATTTTGATCGTAGATTTCATAAATGAACTCCACAAGGCCCCCCAGTCAAAGAGGGCACTCCAAATCAAAGATGGCTGCCAAATGTGACAGGCAGGAGGTTGCATTTTTTTAAATATTCATCAAAGGAACAAAGAAAGTGAAGCTTCTCTATTTTCATGTATTTACGGCCATGAAACCTAAATTTGATGTTATAAATGTATTTAATAAAGGAAATGAAAAGAAACATATGACTACGGAGAGAAACATAAGCTCAGAAGCGTGTTTGCACTTTTATGAGTTAATGTGTTAATGTATGTCAACAGATACTCTCTTCCAATTGTCGTGCGTGTTCTCCCTTCTTTAGCAATCCCTGCACACATGATTTATCCTGTTTTCTTCCATTAACGTCTTAATACTAGATGGAGCTATTTTCCATAGCTGCACTAATCAATAAATAAAACAATCTCAAATACGGGAGGAAAACAAACTGGATCGCAATACCTTATATATTTTTACCACGAAGACAACAGCAGGGAGAAGTAACTAGGCAACTAAAAACTGTACAATGTTGTAAAGTTTTTACATTCTCCCCCCCCCCTAAAAAAGGTATGTAGATTTAATATCATTAAAAATTTGAAAGATTTTAAAATTTCATCAGTATAAACTTCGTGCTCTTTTTTAATCATATTGAATTTAAGTTAATCATCTCTTAACGGTAATACACAAACTTCAGTGATGGCTCTCACTAGTGTGGATGTTGGTGTTTTCAATGTAACTACTCTTGTGATGCCATCTGATCCTGGGTGAAGTTTTTGTATTCTTCCTAGTTTCCAAAACAACGGGGGACAGGATCTATCCCTTATTACGACTAACGATCCTATTTTCGGAGATTCGTTTTTTGAGTGTCACTTGGAAAATTTTTGTGTGTGTTGAAGATACTCGTTTTGCCATTTTTTCCAAAATATGTTGAATCCTTCCTGTATTACCTCATGCGCCTGTAGAATTTTTGTAGATTGCTTTGTAGGGGTATTATCGGGATAAGATTTGAGAGGTCTTCCTATTAAAAAATGACCTGGCGTCAATATGTCAAACTCTTCAGGGGCGCTGGATAAGGGTACCAAAGGTCTTGAATTGAGCACAGCTTCAATTTGAGGGACAAGCTGCGTTAATTGCTGTAAATTAAATATTCTTGCTCTTATTACTTTATACAATTGCGACTTGAATATTTTTATTGCTGACTCCCAAAGTCCACCATGATGAGGAGAATTTGGAGGGTTAAATTTCCATTCTATGATATTTTCTGTCATGTATTTCTGGATATCGGGATCCTTTGTTAGTAAATCAAACTGGTTTTGAAGGTGATTGCTTCCTCCTAAAAATGTTCTACTGTTGTCCGTGAAAATTTTTGTAGGTAATCCTCTTCTTGCTATAAATATTTTAAATGCAGAAAGAAGCGCTTTTGAAGAAAGATCAGAAGTTACTTCAAGATGAAGTGCTTTCGACACGTAGCATACAAAAATTATGACATATGTCCGCAACACATTAGCGTTTTTTCTGAATGTTGCTCTCACGCTCAACGCTCTGGTGTAATCAATACCCACCCTTGAAAACGGCTTTGCTTGTGTCACCCTTGATGTTGGTAATGGAGCCATTATTTGTGAGCACTGTTTTGGATTAGTCCTTACGTACTTCATGCAGCTGTTTACAATTTTCTTTGTTTCTGTTGGGCCACTTAAGGGCCAGTATTCTCGCCGTATGTGTGCTAGTAAGATTTGTGGCGGTGCATGCAAAAGTTTGAGGTGTTCTTGATGAAAGAACAGCCTTGTAAACCTGTGCTTTGCTGGCAGCAGAATTTGATGCTTTTGTGAGAATGTTAATTCAGAATTAGTCAAACGGCCTCCAACTCTCAAAATTCCGTCTTCATCCAAAAAGGGGTGCAGCGATCTAACACTGCTCGAAGGGAGAACCATTCCAGACTTTTTAGCCAGGTACATTATTTCTTGAGAAAACGCTTCCTTCTGAATATGGCGCATGCAAAGGTTTCTTGACTTTTCTATTTCTACTAAGGATGGTAGTTCTAACGGACTCTTTCTCATTTTCTTTTTGATGCTACCTTTCCTTGAGCCTTGGATTGCATTTTTGCAACGGTTTATGAACCGTAACAGATATGCTAGAATTCGTAGTATCTTGTTCAAGCTGTAAAATTTATTTAGAAGATTTGTAATTTCATCAGGCGTTTTTATCAGCGCTGAACAAAGCATGATTTCTTCATTTCCTTCCGAATTTTGTGTCAAAAATTTTGACTGATCAGGCCATTTTGATTCGCCAGTGGAAATGAAATCTGGTCCGTTCCACCAAACTGTTGAAAGTTTCAAGCTTTCAGCATCTGTTCCTCTTGAAATTATATCTGCGGGATTGTTCTTCGTTGGCACATGGTGCCAAACAGCTTTCAAGGCTGTTGTCGTCTCTTGAATTTTCTTGACACGATTGGAAACAAAAGTTTGCCATTTACTTGAGTTAGAGTTGTTAATCCAATGGATAGCTGTCGTTGAATCCGTCCACAGTACAATTTTTTGAGGCTTTAATTGTACTGCTTCATTTACTTTTCACATGAGATCAGACAGGAGCACAGCTGCCGCTAATTCTAAGCGAGGGATAGTATGAGCTTTCTTGCTTGGCGCCACTCTCGACTTGGAACAAATTAAGCTTAATTGGAATTCTGTGTTTGATTGCGGATTTATTGACATTAAGGCATAAATACAAGCTCCATATCCTCTCTGAGATGCGTCAGAAAAGCCATGAAAAATAGGAGCACAGTCACTAAGAACCTCGTAAATACGGCGGGGTATGGTGATTGGTTCCAAAAATGGCATTCCAAAAATGTTAGGTCTGCTCATATCTTGTTCCACTCTTGAAGTATTTCAATGGACAGTGGCTGGTCCCAATTTTTTGTTTACTCGAGCCAAATTTTTTGCATTAAAAATTTAGCCTTTACTATTATTGGGCTTACTAGTCCGAGGGCGTCAAACAATTTTGATATGTCAGATAATATTATCCGTTTTGAAAATGTACCACTTTTGTTGAACTCAGGCGATGATTTGAAGAAAAAGTAGTCTTCTTTCGGCTTCCACCCCACTCCCAACGCTTTTGATTCTTCACTGCTGTCGAAGTAAAACGGGTTCGTTCTTTGCTTTTCTGTAGTTAATACAGCAGGATCGTTTGATTGCCATTTGCGCAGGTTTACTCCGTACGGTTCAAGTATTTCTTCCGATTCTTCTTTTAGTGTTCTGGCCGACTTGCTATCGTTTGCACCTCCTAAAAAATCATCGACATAAAACTGTTTCAAGAGTGTGTTTGCCGTCTTGGGGAACTTCGTTTTGCCTCTAATGGCAGCTTCTTTCAGACTTCGTGTTGCCAGAAATGATGCTGGTCCAGTTCCGTAAGTCACTGTGTTTAATCTGTATATTTTTACAGGGTCTTTTGAATTCTTTTTCCACAAAATTCGTTGCAACTCTCTTTGTGAGAGATGAATCCACGTTTGTCTGTACATTTTTGTGATATCACCAACTACAGCAACTGGAAACTCTCTGAATCTCAAAAGGATCTCAAGGAGCGTGTCTTGGACAGAGAGGCCAACACTTAAAATGTCATTCAAAGATTTGTTTGATGAGGATTTTGCAGATGCATTGCATACCACTCTTAATTTTGTCGTTAGCGAATTTTGTCGTAAAACTCCTAAATGCGGAATATAATATGCTGGGAAGTTGGCCGCCTCCGAATCCGGGACTTCGCTCATGTGTCCTAATTCTTCATATTCAGTTAAAAAATCACAATACATTTTCTTCAATACTGGATTCTTTTCTAACTTTCTCTCCAAGAAATACAATCTTCTTAAAGCCAATCTTTTTGAATCTCCTAGCACAATTCTTCATATTCAGTTAAAAAATCACAATACATTTTCTTCAATACTGGATTC